AACATCCCTTCACATGGTCTTGTAAAGAATGAGGAGCAAGTGAACTGCATTTTGTGCCAAGCTGTTGTCTGCACTGGTTCACTTTATAAATGCGATGCTTGCTTAACTTTCTGCTAAACAAAATTGTAGCAATCCTTAGCCAGTAGTAGTACTGTAAGAGCACCCATGTGCCGACAGGACTTCTGACCAACAGGTCAGCAGTTCAAATCTGGGGAGAGCGGGTTGAGATCCCTCTGTTAGCTCAAGCTCCCATGCAGGGACATGAGAGAAGCCACCCACAGGATGGTAAAACATCAAACATCCGGGCATCCTCTTGGCAACGTTCTTACAGACAGCCAATTCTCTCACACCAGAAGCAACTTGCAGTCTCACAAGTCGCTCCTGCCACGAAAAAAATTAGTGCTTTGTTTGCATTGTCAAAAGGTAGGAATTGACAGCATCAGCATGGATGGGGAAAACGGTTGCATAGATAAATTATCCAGTTGCAACATTGATGGCTAGGTTTTGCTGTAGCAAATCATTCTTGCTTTTATGAAGAGTGAAATTGGTGGTCCAAATCTAGTGCTAGAATCTGAAGCAAGAGCGTGGGAAACAGCCTGTACGGATGTATGTTGAGGCTGGGATCCAAAGGATACACATGCGTCAGAGTGGATAGCGCATGCAGCTGCTGTTTTCCATTTGTTCTTTAGGCTGTTTTCATTTTTCAGCAGAAATTCTTCTCTTTAAACAGATGCTAGACAATGTAGGCTTGGTACGGATAGAAGAAAGCAACATTTTGGCCCCGTGCAAGATTATTTCATTGCCGCTTCTGTTTCTTCTTTATGTTCTGTGCACAAAGTTCCCTTGCTTGTGCATTTCACTCCTTTTTGTATCCCGGTCTAAGTTCACTTGCAGGAAACATCCTTTGTTCCCAGAACGTTATATTCTTGCAGAAATTTGTGGGCAAGGAAAAGATTCAGCTGTCCAAATATGACACATTATACAGTCTCCCTCCCCGCAACTTTCTTTATGCAGCCTGCAATTCCTGATTCTTTTGTGCAGAAACAGTGGAGGTGTACTATTGTGTGCAAACACTATGTGGCCCTTGTTTTGTAGCCCCTATTTTGGTTTTGTCAAACCCAGCCTTCGGTACCCTGTGTTCCAAGAGCCTTAAAACAGAGAAATACTAATAACGCAAACAATTTGAAAAATACAAAATCAAGTAATCGAGAGGGATCCAGAGAGACCAGAGCGATATATTCATGCAAGCTGCACTTTAATATAAGCCAGCGTTTCTCAACCTGGGGGTCAAGACCCCTTGTGGGGTCGCGAGGGGGTATCACAGGGGTCGCAAAAGACCATCTGAAAACACAGTATTTTCTGTTGGTCACGGGATTCTGTGTGGGAAGTCTGGCCCAGTTCTATTGCTGGTCGGGTTCAGAATGCTCTTTGATTGTAGGTGAACTATAAATCCCAGCAACTACAACTCTCAAAGGTTAAGTCTATTTCCCCCTTACTCCATCAGTGTTCACATTTGAGCATATTGAGTATTTGTGCCAAGTTTGGTCCAGACCCATCATTGTTTGAGTCCACAGTGCTCTCTGGATGTAGGTGAACTACAATTCCAAAACTCAAGGTCAATGCCCACCAAACCCTTCCAGTATTTTCTCTTGGTCACAGGAGTTCTGTGTTCCAAGTTTGGTTCAATTCCATCATTGGTGGAGTTCAGAATGCTCTTTGGTTGTAGGTGAACTATAAATCCCAGCAGCTACAACTCCCAAATGACAAAATCAATCCCTTCCCCAACTCCACCAGTATTCAAATTTGGGCATATCAGGTATTTCTGCCAAATTTGGTCCAACAAATGAGAATACATCTTTCTTATCAGATATTTACATAACAGCAGCAAAATTACAGTTATGAAGTAGCAACAAAAAATAATGAGGTGCTTCTCAATCTATATATCAGCGCTTCTCAATCTTCCTGATGTATTAAGGGGTCGAGGCATTAGGAAGATTGAGAAGCACTGATATAAGCAATGATACTTTTCTTCTTTAGGAAACATGATGTTCTTAGCTAGTAATTTAAACATGGATTACGAAGCACTGTGCCCATCAGTGAGTATTTTAACATTAGTAGCCTGGGTTTCATTTTGAACATAATAATAATAATAATAATAATAATAATTATTATTATTATTATTATTTATACCCCACCACCTGAAGGGACTCGGGGTGGCCAAACATAAAATAAACAATACATAAACATATAGACTATGACCCCATAGTTTTCCAACAGTCAACATACATAAAATGATGTATAAAATGTTTTTTTAATTCATAAAATGCAGCGATGCCTGTGGATAAAACTGGCAGTCTTAAATTAACAATCCAAGTGCTGAAGGAAAGCAGTCACTAAGTTCTCTTGTCTAACCATTAAAATCTACTCAAGGTCGAAGGCCTGTCTAAAAAGCCATGTTTTTAGACTAGACTGAAAAGCTTGGAGAGTGGGGGCTAACCTTATCTCTCTAGGGAGGATATTCTGGAGCCGGGCCACCACCACTGAAAGGGCCCCGTCCCTTGATCCCACCAGCCATATTTGGAACTGAGATCTTCCAGATCCTGCACCGGTTCATAGAAGGAGATGTGGTCTTGAAGATAGGTTGTACCCGAAGTTGTTTGTAGCCATAGGCCATCATAGTTTAGGACAGCCTTTGGGACTCCAATTCCCAAAAGCCCCGGACACTTGTCCAGTAGTCAGGAAGTCTGGGAGCAGAAGTCCAAAACACCTGGAGGACCAAAGGTTGAACACCACTGGTTTAGAACATAACAGATGTGAAATAGTGGTAAAGAAATATAGTTGGCTGAAAATATTTCATTACATATATTAATCATACATGGAAAAGCTTCCTCTTTCCATTGAGAAAAGAACACTGAACAATGAAAATTGTAAAAATTCTGGATCAGTTGACCTAGTGTAGAAGTCCCATATTCAGTTAATTACTTCCATTAAATTTTGGTCATAGAATTCCCAGCGTCTTGCATCACTGCATAAATCAGATACAGTTGATGCAAGAACATTCTCAAGGCCACCATCTGTATTCTTTTAAGTTAAGCTGCTTTAAGAATAACTTGCACAACATATACCTCGTCTGTTTCATCATATATAAGAATGCGTCAAATGCAGGACTGCTTGGTCTAACATTCTGCACAGTTTGTTGCTCCTGTTCTGTATGAAATCTCCCTGAAATCTCCAGACATCCAGTGCTATTCAGAAAAAAAATGTTAAGAGCTTTCTGTTTGGAGGAAGCTTTTAGATCAATCGTTCCCAAACTGTGGTCTGTGGAGCACCAATGCTCCAGAAGAACAAAAATATGGTCTGCGGCCTCACCATTACTACACCGCTGCCTGGAAACCACGCACCAATGAGAGCAACTGGTCTCGCGAAACAGGGATGTCGGGAGGGGAGAGGCTGACTATCCATGAAAGATTACTACTACCACATCAGCTCTAGATTATTGAATATGGTTTTCTGTGGACGAGCGGATTGAGACTACTGGATGGCATATGCTCTGTATCGGAAACTAGAGCTGATGTGGTTTATCCAATGCAGTTTTCTGAATCAGTACCCCAAATAACCAAACCGAATCTGAAGTTGACCAAAAACTGATTTGTAACCCTTTTGGTACTAATGTTGGAGCGTAATCCCTGGTCAAAGTGGACTCTGGTCAAAAAAAGGTTAGGAACCACTGTTTTAGACCTAAGTCCTGACCAGAGTAAACCAATGACACCGGGACTATGGTGCAGCTCTTTGAGTGTCAGCTGCATTAAGATGACTTCTGACCACAAGGTCATGAGTTCGAAGCCAGCCCAGGTCGGAGTGAGCTTCCGACCAATTGTGTAGCTTRTTGTCGACCTTTGCAACATGAAAGACAGTTGCATCTGTCAAGTAGGAAAATTAGGTACCACCTATGTGTGGGGAGGCAAATTTAACTAATTTATGAGGCCATAAAAAAGACTCCAGCAAAAGCATGTGGGGAATGCGGAAGTACTTCATCAGAGTCGCAGATGGACGATTAAAGCGACAGCTCCCCTGGCGGCCAGAAAAAGTTTAATAGCCTCTGACTGTTTGTCTATATCTGTTGTGTGTCTTTGGCATTGAATGTTTGCCATAGTCCCCTGCGGTGTGAGAAGGGCGGACTGTAAATACTGTAAATAAATAAATAAATAATAGAATTTTTAACTTTCCAGGTTGCTGTTGGTTTAGTTAGCTTACTCTGTAGTTTGGATCAGCAATTGGATTTTAGTCTGAATGCTTAATTTATGTTTTGGTTTATTCAGTATAAAGTTTACTAAACAGTTATACACTTCACATCTTTTCATATTCTGCATAGTTCTTGTGTTTTATTGTTCTTTGCTTTGCATTTTATAAGAGTAGAATATCAATAAATGTAAGATGCCATGTCCTGTGAAAAAAAGAAACTGTTTACTACTCATAAACTGTTTACTACTCAGGCTATTGGTTGTTTTTACACCCTTATGTTGTTTGTTTTATGATGTTGTTTTATGTATTTTAGTGTGGTATAGTTTATGTTGATCGGGCTTGTCCAATTGAAGCCCCCCGAGTCCTTTTGGGGAGATGGAAGCGAGATACAATTTTTTTTGTCGTATCAGGAGCGACTTGAGAAACTGCAAGTCACTTCTGGTGTGAGAGAATTGGCTGTCTGCAAGGACATTGTCCAGGAGACGCCCAGATGATTTGATGTTTTTATCATCATTGTGGGAGGCTTCTCTCATGTCCCCGCATGAAGAGCTGGAGCTGATAGAGGGAGCTTATCCGCCTCTCCCCGGATTTGACCCTGCGACCTGTCGGTCTTCAGTTCTGCCGGCACAGGGGTTTAACCCACTGTGCCACCGGGGGCTCTGGGATACAAAAATAAAGTTGCTGTTGTTGTTGTTGTTATTATTATTATTATTAAAAGAAAAAGCACTTTGTTAATATATTTATGTTCTGTCTTTTAGGCTCTGAAAAACATCAAGATGGAATGTCAGGGTTTCTCCCTGTCTTTAGGAACTTTAAAAACTGTGAATTAAAGAAGAATGAGTGTGGCTGCCCTTCAAGATAAGTGTCATGCCAGTTACTTACAAGGGACAGATCAGAACATAAAAGTCTGACAGTCCCTCCTTCACAGATTTTCAGTCCTGTACTGAAATTATATTAAGGGATTATGCTTTACAGCAAATTGATGTCCTCAAGAACAGCCCAAAATATCCCTGCAATTCTATGCAAAAGAAGCTGGTATTTATGCTGAAACAAAACTGGATTAACCATGAGGCCAAAGACTTTTCCTGCGACTACTTACTCCGGCAACAGCAGACAAAGACTGCAGGAGATTCGGGAAGGTTTGAAACAACCGACCAAATCTTTCAGTCAGGGATTACCTGTTGGACCAGGTGGCAAAAGTTCTCTGGACACTAAAATCGTACTTGGGAAAGATAGTGCCAGGCAGCAGCAGCTGAGACCTTCTACCAAGTTTGGGCCTTACCAAAAGGCTCTGCGAGAAATCAGCGCTTCTTTGTCACCTTTTGCGAATGAGTTGGGCAACACTTCTGCAGCCATTGAAGTCAACAGGCAAATGCTACAGGAACTGGTGAATGTGGGATGCGATCAGGTAAGCATGACTGGCTCTACTGCTATGAAAATTGACACATTTGGTGTTGGTTATGCTGGCTAGAGGATGCTGAGAGTTATATTCCAATGGCAAATATTTTCCAAGTTATTGGTAGGTTGCAGAACAATATTTCCTTTGTAGGGCAGAAAAAGTGCTTCGTTTATATTATTAGTTTTGTTCATGCAGTATATTCTATAGAAGGCACGAGCAAACTTTGGCCCTCCAAGTGTTTTGGACTTCAACTCCCACAATTCCTAACAGCCGATAACACCTGGAGGGCCAAAGTTTGCCCGTGCCTGTTCTATAGGATTACTGGGTAATTTGCAGAGTGGTGTTTATATATTACAGACAGTACTGTTGTGATATCTCTTTCATGTAGTGTCTTCTACAGGGTTATCAGCCTAATTGTCAAGTGGTGTCTGCAAACCAGACATCATATTATCATGATATCTACTTCCCTTATATGGAAACATAAGCCCTGTGACTAATAATTTGAGTAAGTCCTTGTCAAACAGTTCTTTTGAAAGGCATGCTTTAATGAAGTCAAATGTGCCGTGGAATGGGAAAGCTGCCATTGATAAGTTATCCCAATGTGGTATTCCCTAGACCAGGGGTCCTCAAAGTTTTTAAACAGAGGGTCAGGTCACAGTCCCTCAGACTGTTGGAGGGCCAGATTATAATTTGAAAAAAGCATGAATGAATTCCATGCACACTGGACATATCTTATGTGTAGTGCAAAAAACACTTTAAAACAATGCAATAATTAAAATGAAGAGCTGGGTTGTTGTAGGTTTTTCGGGATATATGACCATTTTCTAGAAGCATTCTCTCCTGACATTTCACCTACATCTAAATGCAGGCGAAACATCAGGAGAGAATGCTTCTAGAACATGACCATGTAGCCCGAAAAACCTACAACAACCCAGTGGTTCCAGCCGTGAAAGCCTTCAACAATACATTAAAATGAAGAACAATTTTAACAAATATAAACTTATTGGTATTTCAATGGGAAGTGTGGGCCTCCTTTTGGTTGATGAGATAGGATTATTTTTCTTGTTGTTGTTGTGTGCATTCAAATCGTTTCAGACTTAGGTTGATCCTGAGCGAGGGCCGGATAAATTATCTTGGAGGGCTGTATATGGCCCTCGGGCCTTAGTTTGAGGACCCCTGCCCTAGACCAACATTTTAAAATCATTGCATACTGCAATACAGTCATTTAAGATTCCTTGGTACAGTAGAGTCTTGCTTATCTGATATAAACAGGCCGGCAGAATGTCAGATAAATGAAAATGTCGGATAATATGGAGTTTCCTACTTTTACTCATCTGACGCGGTGCTAGACACCTAGAATACTAACAACAGGGACTCAAAGGGTTAGGGCAATGCCTCGGGGCTAGAGCAGCCCATCAGGAAGTGCCCGGATGCGGAAGAGGGGCATGGAAGTCACAGAGGGAAGGAGGGAGGACTCTTCCACTTCCGGTCCTGTCCTGTCCCTTTTCCACCTTTCCTCCCTCCTTCTTCTCATGCCTTTTTCACTTATTGGGAATGGAGAGAGAGTTGGGAGCACTCCTTTAATTGAAGGGGAAATGTTGGTGGGAAAGGGGGATGTCCGATAAAGAGTGTTGGATAAGACGGAATGTTGTATAAGTGAAGGTCGGATAAGCAAGACTCTAATGTAGTACCAACGAGGAAAATTTACATGGACAGAACAGGAAAGCTAGATTCATTTGAGTATGGCAGTCAGGTCTTGATCTAGAGATGAAACGTCCATTGCAGTTTCCATTTCCAGTAAGTCCGGCCTGGGGAACTTCCAGTCCTCCTTCCTGCTGCATTTTGGGGGTTAGGCAAAACCCTCTCATTGCTGGAACAATTCAGATTCGTTTTAGCCATTTGCTGATTCATTTGAGAAACATTTCTCTGATTTTACTGCATACGAATTTTCTGTGATGAGGTTAGTCACCCCACCATCATTCCTTGGTGCCCACCAATATTTTTGAGCAGCAGTTTGCTTAGAGACAGAAAAGCCATATGGCATACCCATGCTTACTGCCATGCCTACATTCTGTACTATGACAGGCACTGGCTGTCCTATCATGCTTCCAATCATTGCTTGAGATGCATTGTTGTTGTTCATTCGTTCAGTCGTCTCCGACTCTTCGTGACCTCATGGACCAGTCCACCCCAGAGCTCCCTGGCGTGAGATGCATATCCAGGTACAAATGCAGGGCTGGAAACCTCTAAAATGAGAACCACTGATTTAAGTCGCTGGAGACTAAGGTTTATCTTATTGAGAAGAGACATTAAGGCTATTAAGAGTTGGGTAAGTATTGTAAATAATGTGTACCCAAAGTAGGTCCCGATAGCAGCAAAAACTGAAGTGAACTAAATGTTTTTTTTATAAGAATGTTCATTTCCCAACATCTGGATGTATCTCACAGTATAACTGTTCCTCTTTCAAAAATGATTAAAACAAATAACATGTGATGTCCTGAATTGAAAAAAATAAGCTTTCAGTGTTCAGTTCCAGGACTTGTAGAACTTGTAAAAGAGGCATGGCCTTAACTCACCACAGAAATATGAAGTCAGAAATGCTGTTAGATGTCCGCCAGCTGGTAAACAAAACTTGATGAACTTGAAAATGCAGTTTTCAGTCTTTACAAAATATTCTGGCACAGGATTGCAGGCATGCTTCTTGCAGCTCACTAATCCATTTGGAAACACCCCAGGCAATTAGTTGAGGAATGTTGCATGCAGTTGTAGATAGTAGCTTTTTAAATATTTTAATTGCACTGAATAGAAGCAATTGAGCAGATGATTAGATCTCTTCATCAAGCTGAGAAGGTCTGGATTCTAGTTTTTTCTCTCTTTCTTGGAATGAAAAAGTTGACAGGGTTGTTGCTTCCACCATAAAATATTAAACTGATGAGGATTATTGAAGAGGTGTGAATTGTCACACTTTGGTTGTGTTGGTTTCTTGGGAAAATGTGTGAGTGTATTTGTAAAGTACAGCTCTGGTTGTGTCTCCTGCAAAGTTCTGCAACAAATGGCGCAACAGCTGCAACTGGACTCTTTCAGCTCAGGGGCTTCCCGAATTTCCCCGAAACAATGTGCTTGTGCTATCCTATTTCTGATGTCCAAGCAGGAGTTCCTGATGCTTATGTAGTAAATGGCACCACCCTTGCATTCCAGGGAGATTTCATCAGGCTTGGCAGATTGCTGTGGGTTTTCAGGAGTCCACACAAAAAACTGAAAGGACACCAAGGTGGGTAACGTTCTACCGTCCCCAAGTCCTGAGTCAGTGAGGACAGATTGTACTCAGCAGACATGGAGATTAAATGTTTGTTGAATGAGGATGATGGGGAATTATCCGAGGCATATCCTGAAAAAGGGCCTGCCTCAGTTGGTAGAACAGGAAGCAGACCCATTCCTTACTGTATAAAATGAAGACCGACAAGTTGCAGGTTCGAATCCGGGGAGAGGCAGATGAGCTCCCCCTGTCAGCTCCAGCTCCTCATGCAGGGACATGAGAAAAGCCTCCCACAAGGATGATAAAAACATCAAATCATCCGGGCGTCCCCTGGGCAACGTCCTTGCAGTTGGCCAATTCTCTCACACCAGAAGCGACTTGCAGTTTCTCAAGTCGCTCCTGACACGACAAAAAAAAAAAAAACCCAAAACAAAACAGTATAAAATTTTCTTAACTTTATATTTGTTTAGATAAGTATCCAGAAYTGTGTGTAGTCTGGGCATTTAAAAGAAAAAAAAATACAATTAACCCAATGAAAACTACCATTTGCAAACAGAAGCTTGCATATTCTGAAAGGGGAATGCACTCACCCAGAATTATAATCAGTACCATCTTAGTTGTCATTAGGAAGAGTATGAAGCAATATTCATACTGTCATGATGACTGAATAAAGTAAAGGTAAAGGTTTTCCCTAACATTCAGTCTAGCTGTGTCCGACTCATCCCCATTTATAAGCTGAAGAGCCGGCGTTGTCCGTAGACACCTCCAAGGTCATGTGGCCAGCATGACTACAAGGAGTGCCATTACCTTCCCGCAGAAGTGGTACCTATTGATCTACTCACATTTGCATGTTTTTGAACTGCTAGGTTGGCAGAAGTTGGGGTAACAGCAGGAGCTCACCCTGCTCCACAGATTCGAACCATCAAACTTTCAGTCAGCAAGTTAAGCARCTGCCACCAGGAGCTCATTGATGACTGAATACTATGATTATTTTAGTGCTTCTAGATTATTGTGATGACAATATCCTGGCACAGTTAGTAAGCCCCCGGTGCCGTAGTGAGTTAAACCACTGAGCTGCTGAGCTTCTTGACCGAAAGGTCACAAGTTTGAATCCAGGGAGCGGTGTGAGCTACCGCTGTCAGCCCCAGCTTCTGCCAACCTAGCAGTTCGAAAACATACAAATGTGAGTAGAACAATAAGTACTTCTCTGCAGTCATGCCGACCACATGACCTTGGACGTGTCTACGGACAACGCCGGCTTTTCTGCTTAGAAATGGAGATGAGCACCAACCCCCAGAGTCGGACACAACTGGACTTCATGTCAGGGGAAAACCTTTACCTACCTTTACTACAGTTAGTAAATAATTTTATAAAACAGTTTTTAAATGAAGTAGGAATTCCCCGGGGGAGTAAATTTAATATAAGCTAACTTAAGAAATATTTAAAGTATTTAAACATTAAAATATCAAGCAATGATTTGGAATTTTATCTGACGTACTCCATCAGTTTGGGGCACCACTGTTTAGGGAAGATGTTGATGAGGTATAATAAGTCCAAAAGGAGGCTGGATGGCCGTCTGTTAGGGGTGCTTTGAAAGCGATTTTCCTGCTTCTTGGCAGGGGGTTGGACTGGATGGCCCACGAGGTCTCTTCCAACTCTATGATTCTATAGAGGTTTGGACTATATATCCCTCAAATTCTCTTGATACGTGAAGGCTCTTTCTTTGTCAGATGTTTCAGTAAATCCTCTGGCC